AGATTGTGGAATCTCCATCATTGGAGATATATAAGTGCAGGGAGGAGACAGTGTGTGGTCCTGCCGTGAGGGCAGGGGACTAGACTTGATCTCTTGAGGTCCTTTCCAGGTCTCCTATTCTATGAGTCTCAGTTGCCCTACTGCTGTTTCTTTCCATTGCAGCAAGTATTACTTAGAATATAATGTAGTGGGCTGAAATCAAAAGGCACATAGCTCAGAGTGCAATGATTCCTCCAGCAGAGCATGGAATGCCCTCTCAACAGAGAAGCCAGGGACTGTGCCAACGTCTTTCCCACAGCTTTGTCAGTGAATTTCAGTCACTGTCTACAACAGGGCTACTCAACACATGTCCTGCGGGTGGGATCATTTGAACATGGCCTTCACATGGGAACACGTTCCACAATGGCGAGTCAGTGTAATGGTCTTCTCTTGATAAGCGTTTTAGTAGTTAAATTCCTGGACTGTCATTGCTCATTAAAAGTGCTGTCATAGGGGTGGAAATTGGGTCAATATTGCATTTTATTAATATAAGCAGAAGTGACTTAAATGGGGCCTTCGTGTTATGCAGTCTTGCCTTAATCTTTGAATTCTTGCCCCATCAGTGTGAAAGAAGCTATTTGCATGTATATTTACATGTATCTGCAACCACACTTAAGTTGTAGCCCTTCGCATGTGCTGTGAGTATCATTGTGGTCCCCAGGGCTTCCAAAGTTGAGTAGCCCTGGTCTACAACATTCCTGTTGGTTACCAGTCCAAGATAGAAAAAGGGTCTTTTATTTGATTGCTTTTTATTTCTGGCAGAGGTTTTCATGAACAGTGAAAACTGTAGGCATCAGAGAAAATAAGCTTGTTGAAAAACAGCTTCTTGTCTCTGAAGAAGGCAGCAACATAGTTAATATAACCATTGTACATAGTTAATGTAACTTCTCAAAGAGAAGTTTGGAACCGTGCCTCTCTGGGGCTCTGTGGTTTACACTCTAAACAGATGAGACAGACAAAGGGTGAGCTGCGGGGAAAGAGGCACAGAGTTGAAGTGACTTGCTCGAGGTTACACGGAAAGTAAATGAACAATCCAAGAATTTATCTGGGGCCTTATTCTGGCCCTTAGAAGGATATATTTTGGTAGGCAGATGATCTCACAAAGATTATTTCCCCCAAGGACTTTATAAAGCATTATAAAGGAATATATTTATATATGCTTTATTCTAATGAAGGTCAACAGTTTAAAGAAACTGGACTTGCTTTATTCATGAAGATGAAAGATGATGCTGAAATATGTTTACCACAGAAAATTTGGTGGAATTAGTCTGAAACATGCAGAATGAGATCACTACATATAGGCTGTGTCTAGACTGGCCAGTTTTTCCGGAAAATCAGCCACTTTTCCGGAAAAACTTGTCAGTTGTCTACACTGGCCGCTTGCATTTCCGCAAAAGCACTGACGATCTCATGTAAGATTGTCAGTGCTTTTGCGGAAATACTATGCTGCTCCTGTTTGGGCAAAAGTCTTTTTCTGAAAAACTTTTGTGCAAAAGGGCCAGTGTAGACAGCAGAGATTTGTTTTCCGCAAAAAAGCTCCGATCCCGAAAATGGCCATCGGGGCTTTTTTGCGGAAAAGCGCGTCTAGATTGGCCATGGACGCTTTTCCGCAAAAGCAATCTAGACGTGCTTTTCCGAAAATGCTTTTAACGGAAAAATTTCCCGTTAAAAGCATTTCCGGAAAATCATGCCAGTGTAGACGTAGCCCTGATGTATAGACATAGAATAGATGCAGGAAACTAAAATGCCTGGGCCCTGATTTGGTTCCACTATCATTGTGGCCCCATTATGCTGGTACTTAACAGTGCAAAAGAGCCATAAAGATGGCTCAGTTAGTCACTGCTGCAAACACTTGTAGTTTTCTGTTCAGTGCTTTGTTTGTATGGCTGAAGTACTTTTTAATTACCTGTGATTGGATGCTTTTCTAGGGTTGCCAGATGGTTTCAACAAAAATACTGGACACACTTGACATTATATCACAATCTACATTACATCTTATTTAGAAAATAACGGACATTTATATTTTCTCATTTATATTTTCTCAATATATTTCCCAAATAGAAAGCTCAAATACTGGACTGTCTGGTTCAAAACCGAACACCTGGTAACCCTATGCTTTTCAATCCGCTTTTAAAACAGCGTTCACATGCTGTATATAGTAAAAAATGCTACCCTTTCTGGTGCTTCGCTTAAGTACTGAAAAAATTAACAACAGAAAAACATAGAATGTGATTCTAATTTACATTAGACACTTTTTACACCATTTTGACATGTAATTTGTGCTTCCTTTAAGGCCCCTTTAAATTGCTACACCAAAGTCCCTTTAGAACAATGTAAATTGTCCTTCGTGTGAATTAGAATCAGGCAGTAAAATTCAGCATCAGGCTTCTCTACCAGCTGCTACTAGAGTTTTTTTCTCACCTTACCAAAAATCAGTTTATACCCTTTCTCATCTCTCTTGCACTCTGCTTAGGTAAAGTAGCTTCTGCCCTACTAGTGAATCAGCAGAATCTACTTAATCCTTTCTTGGTAGAATCAACATCGGTTAACAGAATAGTCTGATTCAGGTAAACACGGCTAGCCTGTTAAATTACCAATTTCCATATGCCCTGTAAAATTCAAAGTAACATGAAATATTATTTTTGTAAAAAAGCATGTGGATTACACAAATTTCCAAATTCTAAAACATCTTAGAACATTTCCACACTCTTCTGGGGCTTTTCCTTAAAATGTTATGAATTTTAAAAGAAAAACATTGTTTTCAGAAATTCCTAATGAAATAAAATAATAAAAAACCTGGCATTTTATTCCCCTGAACTCTAAAATAATTCAAAACATTGCTGGAGCTCCTGCAGTGGTCCAGGTCTGAAGCTCTTATTCCCGTGATTAATGAGGATTACTTATGTAAGGAATATTCATGGAAGTAAGGGTTACAGAATCACTTCCCTTCAAGAGGTTCCAGCTCTTACTTCAATTCTGATTTTTAGTCTAGAGGTTCTTGTTTGATACAAGTTGAGCCTCTCTGTGTTTGTCAGACTTCATTTCTTTGCCTCCTTTCTTTAGGCCTGATGCTAGCCCATTGCTGTTAGTGATAACAGGATAAGTCCCATGCAGCCAGTTTCTCAAAAGTGGCCATTAATTTGGGGTACATCAGTTTTTGGGTGCTCACCCTGATTCACCTAAAACATTTAAAGGGTGATGCTGAACACTAATAACTCCCATTGAAGTTAATGGGAACTGTGGGGCATCTCTGAAAATTCAAACAAAGGTGTTTCATATTGAGAATGTAGAAGCAGTGGCACGCACAATCAGTAGCTACATCTGCAAATGCTGGTTTTAGCTTTTTTTGTTAGGAAATATGTTCTCTCGCTTCCACTTTGTTCAGGTGAAGAGTCCCAGTTTCATTTAAAGGAGTATTTTTCCTCTATTTAATCCAACTTCTAGACGAGTCAGTGGCAAAATTATTTGACTTCAGTGGAAGCAAGATTGATCTCCCAATAATCTGTTGATTTCTTGCCATATGGCTCATTCACACACAATGTTACTTTGCTTTTTCTGCATATGTATTTTCCCAAGGGAAGAAACAATGTGTTCTAATTAAGAATTTTAAACTTTAGATTTTTTCCTTAAAACAAAAACAAAAACCTTGATCTGGTTGAGTGATGCACTAGGTTGTTATTTATGCTAAGAAGAGTCGGTAAATACAGAATGCAAGTGTATTAGGTTAATTGCATGCTGTGTCAGTCTAACACTCTAAAATAAGGACCACTGGCATGTGCTATTAGGAAGGACAAAAGAAGAGAAACTTGTTTGGAATTATTTTAATATCTACTTTTCTCCCTTTTACCATTAATACTTTATTGGGGTCTGAGATTGTTGCTTCAGCAAGGCAAAAGAAGTGGGAAAAGTTAAGTCAAATGGATACACTTCCATTTAGTATCAGTGAACACCAATAATCTCCAAAATATGTTACACATATACAGTAACTTGGACTGGTCTATCCCAGACATTTGCATCAGCATAGCTGTCTCAGGAGTGTGGATTTTTCACATCCTTGAGAGAGACATAGCTATGCCAACTAGGAGTACTTCTGTCGATATAGCTGCCACCTCTTGGGCAGGAAGATGAATTACAGTGACAGGAGAACCTCAGAGAGCAGGGGTTGGCAAACTTTTCAAACCGAAGAGCCAAACTATATTAAAATTCAGAATAAGTGATCAACAAAGAGCCAGTGTGTAAAAATACCCATTTGCATGACTGAAAATATACAACTGAATATTATTGATAATTGGCATGATGATAAATAATAGCATAAATGAAACATTGTACTCACAGATTTTATTTAATGGGACTTCTGCTGCTGCTGGGGGTGCAGTTTGTGGATGTGGGGATGCAGGATGTATGAGGGGCTTAGGGCAGGGGTTTGGGATGGGTTGGAGGTGAAGGAGGCAGGGCAACATGCTGGGGGTTGGAAGTAGAGTATGGGGGAGCTGGAGCTGAATTATTTTACCTGATCGGGTTGAGCTGCTGCACCCGGGTGCAGCAGTAGCTGGACGAGAGTCTGGGTCAGGATCACCACAGCCAGATCATGACCTCCCCTCCTACCCATGCTGCAGCAGGACGGGGGCTGCTGCTAGCAGCCCTTCCTAAGGCCAGATGGGGGCCAGACCACAGGGCCTGTCCCAGGATTGGGGCCAGGGACAGAATGCTGCGGCCAGATGGGGGATGGGCACTTTTACTTTCTCATGTTAGTTTACCAAACTTAATTTTAAATGAAGTAAAATACTATGTTCAACATTGTCTTTATTTTTGGCAGGTGTGGGGAACGTTTTTTGGGTCAGAGGCAGCTGACCCACAGAAAAATCAGTCAGGGACCACAGAAGTGAGAAGCAAGAAAACAACCCTTCTAAAACCGTCCAACCTTCACTGATGTAGCTTCCAACTGAGGCACTTCACTCCCCGGGTGCTCCAGCCCCATGCAAGGCAAGGGGCAGAGAGGACTGAGGTTCGATGCATCAGGCCAGATTAACTCTTCTGGGATTCCTGGGTTAGTGGATTTTGTGGGACCCTCTAGGCTCTGGCTTAGGGCAAAAATGAGGGGTCCAGTGTGCGGGACAGGGGTGTAGGAGCAGACAGGGAATATGGTGTCTGGGCAGGGGAGAGGGGGTAGGAGCAAGCTGGGGTTAGGTGTCTGGCCAGGAAGGAGGGGACAGGAGCAGGGTGCTGGTGAGTGGCCAGAGGGAAGGGGCAGGAGCAAGGCATGGGTGGGTGTTTGCCCAGGAGGAGCGATCAGGAACAAGCTGAGGGTGCGGGGTTTCAGACAGATGGAAAGGGGCATGCAGAGTCTGGGCGGCACTTACTTGATTTTGCACCCCGCCCTGCTCTCAAGCTCCCTGTCCCAGGCATGACTTCCCACTGCTCCATTGTCTGGATTTCTGGCCAATGGAGCAGTGTTGGGATCTCCTACCTGGGGAAGACTTTGAGGCGCCTCGATGGGACAGGCCTTGAGACAGCTCCAACAGGCCCCCTCAGCTTTGCACACACCACCCAGTGCCAGCTCGGGAGCAGCTCCAATCTTGTGGAGGACGTGAGGCTGGATCGCCAGCATGGGCCCCCATTGCAGGGGCGAGAACTGGTGGCAGGGGGAGCCGGAGCTGGAGCTGGAGCCATACTTGACTCCTAAGTGAGCCATAGGTTGCCAACCCCTGTTATAGAATTTACACAGAAGTACTACAGTGGCACAGCTGTGAGGTGGTGGCATTTTAAGTGCAGACGTACACAAACTGGTGCTAACTGTGATGCTTTGATGTAATTATTGCACCTTTATGGAGATGCAAAAGGAGCACAGCTAAAGTAGAATGCTTCCCTAAACCACCCATCTGCAGCAGCAGCTTTGTGGGGAAAGAGGGTGCTAAATTTTCAGTCTGCCCTGAGAGAGGCCAGGCATAGCAGCAGAATGAGGAGTAACAGTTAATTCGAACTAAGGACTTAGTTCGAACTAATGTTTCACTGCCGCATGTAGCCGCGTGGCAGTGAGTTCAGGCTAGTGAAATTTCAAAATGGCAACCGGATGGGAACATGAAAATAAAGCCCATGATATTTAAACCCTGGGCTTCATTTGCAACTCCCGTCGCCTCATTTGCCTACATAGCTCGAATTAACGTGCTAGCGTAGCCATACCCTGACTGGCTAAGCAGGACCCATCTTGGTCTCCTATGCCACATAGTGAGTGCTGTAACAATCTAGTCTGTAGTGTTAATGTAACCCACATGCCTACTGGGTGTGGTTCACTGTCCCATGAAGTGGCACTTAGGCCACTTACTGAGAATTTGCTCTACAGCCTTATGTGAGAGGAAGCTGGCTTTTAGCTCAGGCTGCAGAGGCTCATGCACTAAGCTCCAAAGCTCTTGGGTTTGGTTCCGCCTGCTGGCATTGCATTAATAATTAGGATTGGTGCTGTTATTCTCAATAATGCGATACAAATAATGCAAGCTTCTGCAAATAAACAGCCATACTCTTAACTTTGTGTATCCCTTTTTCCCAAACTTTCCTCCTCTAGAGTCATTAAAAAAATGACATGCCCTGTCTAACTATCTCTGTACTTCATCCATATGCTAATCTTTCACATCAATCTCATGCCCTTCCTTGGTACTGTTCTTTAGTATTGTTTTCCTTTTTTGTCTCTCAGTGTTCTCCCATTGGGCTGATTCCATTTATAAATACGACCCCTCCCCCCCAAAAATCCTTTGATTCCTTAACTCTGCACTAGAAACAATAATGGCCCAGAAAAAAAGTGACTCTATCGTTGTGTAATTCAGTCTTCTGCTTCCTCTGATCCTTGGCTCCCAAAGTGCTTTTGTGGTTTGTGATGTCAACAGGACCCTTTAAACTTAGATAAAAACTGGCATAGAATTGCACTAGCTGGCTTTGTTATGCCATTGAAAAGTGTTGCAGATACTTTCGCCTCTGCCAAATCAAATCCTAATTGTTTCTTTTTTTTAAAAAGAGCCAGAGAAAGGCACAGCTTGTATTCGGGATTAATTGTTTCATTATATCCACTGCTTCAGATTTTATTTCCTACTTGTCATGAGTGAAATAGTGGAGCAATTTATGGACCATCTTCAGGAGTTTCCTCTCTCTTTTTGTGTCTTTTTCTTGGACCATTAGCAATAACTTTCACATTACTACTGATGTGCTTCTTAGGTGCAGAAATACATGAGCTCTCTCTGTCTTGGAATCCTTTAAAAGACTTGTTTGTGCTAAAGAGAAACCCACAAGGCTCAGACATGGATATCATGGAAACTAAATTGCTATCCATGTTTTGAGAGGACTATTGCTTTGGCTGTGAGAAAGTTTAACATACAGTGAAAGCCATATACACTGTCCCCTATTTGTTAAACTTAAAAAACAACAAATGGTCTGATAGCCAGACCATTTGTTGTTTTTTAAGTTTATGCTGTACAGACTAACTAGGCCACCCCCTGAAGCCTCTATTTGTAGTTATTTATCTGTATACACCCAAGAGAACAAGTGCTCTAACTATTTAACAGAAACTGTTTGTATTTGTATCTATTTTATCTAGAAACTTTCTCCCTAATTCCTATAATGTGGTGAAGAGTGACCAAGCCCTTTGTCTTGTATGTAAATAACTACTCCATGGTTCCATCAAAAGAAACTTAATTATGTGTGCACAAGGTCTCTTACATCAGTGCAGATACTAGTAAACGTCACTCAGGATCTGTTCTCCATTTGTTCCTACATACATTCCCATAAAAGAAAAATAACTTTCTAATTTAACATCATATTTTTTTATTTCAAGCAAAAGGTTTTCCAGAGGGAACTACTGAAGCCCACATGGAGTCTTTGGTGTCCACTACTCCCATCCCCTAGATGCCCTGGAAGTGTGGTGCTACACAAGCCAGCGTTCTCTCTAAGCTGAGTGCTTGTGCAGCCGCCCAGGAGAGGTTCAAATACCGTCCAGCTGATCAATGAAGTGCCCACAGCCGGCAGCAGCCAACAGCATGTGTTTCTACTGGTGGTACACATCCACACATGCCTTGGTGCACATAACAAAATTTGTTCTGCACACAAATGGAAAAAATACCTAATACTGACACCATTTGAGTGGCAGAATACATCAATGTCCAACCAAATTCAGTTTTTTATTGTATTAAGTTCTCCAGCAAGGTTGTCAATTAGTGCCTATAGTGATACAGACACTTGTCATCTGTTGTCTGAACTGAGAGCCACCAACTCATTTCACCTGACCTATTAGGCAAACATTTCCTGGTAACAGTTTGGCCTCGAGCAGCTATGGTGAGATTTGAAACAGTGATACAGTGGAGCCAAAGTCATATTTATGTCTGTGTGCAGGTGACTGGCTGGGCTACGTTATGTGACTGTCTGCACAGTACTGGGAGAATTGTCTCTTCCTGTGGAAACCCCTGGAGGAGAGACTAGGTGAAGGAGTTGGGGTCCAAGAAGAGAGGTGTGTCTTTTGGAGATTTTCCTCATGCTGTTCTACTACGGATGGGAGAATTTTAATCTGCAGATCCATCTTGAATCACTGGAGCCCATATGGAGTCTTTGGTGTCCACTACTCCCATCCCCTTGATGCCCTTGAAGTGTGGTGCTACACAGCTTAGATGCTACTCACCTACAGCTATATCAGGACGCTCATGTCAAGAGGATCTCCCTTCTGAGGAAGTCTCTGCAAATAAGTTCATACAGTCTTGGCTGTGCTAACTTTTAGGATGGAGGAACCATTGGTTGCTATAATAAGCCAAATGCTGTGTACAGCCCTGCTCTTCCTCTTGATGCATGCACTCCTAAACAGAAACCGGGAATGGGGGAAAATCCAATGACTGGCTAATGATGGTAAATGACCTACTACTGAGTATTTCCTTACTTATTTTGAATAAGATGGAAAAATACCTAATAGAGATAAGCAGTTCTGATTATTCAAGTTTCAGGCTAGTTCTCTCTTCTAGTGGGAAGGGGGTTCTTTTAGTGAACAGCATGTTACTAATAATTTTGTTGCTACTTCATGAACCAGGTACAAAGTCTCTAGTGTTACCTCAAGAAAGTAAAACACCTGTTGTGTTGAGGTCTTGTGGTTTCCATATAATCAGTATGTCCCTCTGGTATTCTGGAATCTCAATGAAACATGTAGCCTTATTGAGCTATACTTGGGGCTGTTAACAAAAGTTTTACTTGGTTAATAAAGATACAATAATTGCTTTCTCTTAAATATCAGAATTTCTTGGGGGGACATAAGGAAGAATAACAAAGAAGTTTTATTTTTTACATAAATAAAGTTTCATTCCTGCACTTGTGAAAAGATTCCAATCCATCTCTTTGATTATTGAACATAATTGTGATAACAAAGCAACGAAATGGATGAGAGTGTCTGCCACAATATCTCAGTGTTGAGATTATCTGTTATTTTTTCAGCAGTGAAGCACACAGTTTTGTATTAGGAATCAGCGTTCTTTTTAAATAGGATCTTCAGAATTGTTTTGTTCATTATTGGAACTAATGGTTTGTACTGTCAAAAGAAAATTAAGCAAGTGATTTACAAATGAAGCTTAATATCTTTAACTGGGATTTTTTTGTCATTTAAATATCTTCATGTATTTCACAACAAGACACGTCTAGTTTGAGACCAGATTCTTAGAATTCAACCTCCAGTTTACAGTTGGCCATTATGATCCCATGGGAACAGTGCAAAAGTAAAGGGAGAATAAGCAATCTGGTAGATGATACAGTAAAGTCTCTCATATTAAATGTAAAAGCAGAGTCCTGACCATTGGTGGTCATTCAAAGTCACATGACACCAGGGGCAGATGAGGATTTTGCGGGGCCAAGGGCAGTACAATTTCACGCCCCCCCCCTTTGAAATGGTGCATGCGCAGTGGCGCCACGGCGCATGCGCGGGGCTTCTTGAAGCGCGGGGCCCAGGGCGGCCACCCCACTCGCCCTGCCCTGTATCCGCCCCTGCATGACACTGTAGGTCCTGGAAAAAATCTAATTTGATATCTGCATTTGGTCTGCCTAAAACTTGAAGCGCGGGGCCCAGGGCGGCCACCCCACTCGCCCTGCCCTGTATCCGCCCCTGCATGACACTGTAGGTCCTGGAAAAAATCTAATTTGATATCTGCATTTGGTCTCACTTTTCATGTCAAATGATAAGGTGTTCTCTTTATTCTCTGTACTTCACTGAAGTTACACGCTTCACTTTGCTTTGTGTAAACTGCTGTGAGGCATTAAACAAATAACATGTATAGCTCAGAGCTGGCTATATGTAAGTCATTTGAGTCTAAGTTAACTACATTCGACAGGTGTGACTAGAGATGAAACTGCCTATAGGTTATAACTATAAACATAAAAGGTAGTGAGTTCCTAGGCTGGAACAAGACAATGTAGCATGAAACAACTTTCCCACTAGCTGTGCCTTCAAAAGTGATCTGCAGAGCTAATGCAAAATTGAAGGTCAGAAATATATACTATATGGTGTTCTAACTAGATGCAGTCAGCTGAGAAATGCATTTTGAATTCCCTTTTTAAAAGTTCCTTTTCCATGTCTATTAAATCCACCTTTGGCATAGTCTGGTTGCTAAATACCCCTAGACTATATCTTCAAGTGACAGCATTTATGCCAAAAATGCCATATAATCTAGCATGCCATTGATGCCAAAGAAAGATAAATTTGGGGATGTCTCACTATCTTGGACATGCCAGATTAATTCACAAATGAAGATAAAGAATTTGGTACAATATAGCTTTGCTGAATATCCCTGACAGCCTGGATTGAAGCCACATTTAGCACACATTTCTGAATTAACTCCATTTTTCATTCCAGCTTTGTAGTCCTCTTGTAATATAGAGATCCAGAGTGTGAACCAGCTAGAACCTGGTAATCTTACCGAGAAGCCTCAAGAAGGCAGATGAAGCGGAGGAGGAAGGGGGCCTAACTGGCTTGCATCTCCTCTAAACAGCATTATGAGCTGAAAAGAAGGGAGAAAGGTACTCTGTCCAGCTTCAGGCATAAATGGTCTAAGAGGCAAAAAATATGAAGCATGATGTCTTGTATTTTCTGAGGTCTTCATGAAATTCCTCTTATCCTGACTTCATTTGTTACCTAGTGTATAAAAAATGCGTATCTTTTTCATTATGAGGGCAGTGGAAAATCTAGAAATGTTTGATTAGACCCCCAAAACAGATGAAGTCAGTGGGTGGTCTGCGTTCCTTGTGACATTTCATCCAACGAGTGAACCCTGAATTTGTTAAAATCACTCACTTTTTAATGTAGACAGTAGGGTAAGGCAGGAGAGGAAACAAACTAATGTTATGTACCAAGACAATGTGTTCTACCCCTGATAAAACAAAGGAAGGTAAAAAGGCTTTGGGAAAGAGAAACATGTAACTGCATATTGTTAGGAATCAGGTTATTTTTCCTTTTGTGTTGTAGCCCACTCTGAATGCTTTAGCGTGGCGTGGGATTGCTTCATCTTGTTGCTAACACTTTCTTGCCTCGTGTTAAGATTTTTTAAGTCAAATGCTTGTTGTCAATTAAAGAAATGCTGGTCAGCCATAGGTCTTACCCCAGTGGAAATTTCATCTCTGTTTCCTACATTCAGTGGACTACTCTTGGCTTTCATTGCTTAAGGAAATGTCTTGATTATGGTACTCTTGCCAAACCTATGAGGCACAGTAAGCCTTTTCAGAGGAGGGGGTCAAAATGAGTGTGACTACTGTGCTGCTGGACAAACATGCTAATGTTGTTTTTCAGATGTGTGGAAATCTCCACATCAATTGGTTTCCTTCAGCTTGAAAGAAACTCCACGCCAGCAAAAGCAGCCATTGACAGCTCTATTAATGTCTCCATTCAGAGCTGTTTTGGCTTCAGATAGTCAGTAAATAAAGTAGTTGCGCCAAATGTGGGCCCTCTGCTGCTATGGGACTCCCTTGTAGAGTAACTGAATGTTAGCTGAGAAGGTATTTTGGAATTCTCTCCATTCGTTTGTGCAGACACAAAGCTTCCTGTAGTATTCTCTGCAGAGATGTTTAACAAATGTCCATAGACCCAGTTTTATTTGAGCCTCTGCACCTGAGACAGGTCTCTTATGCAAACTCTCTAGTGTATATGTTTAACTGCAGCATTTTCCATTTTCATATGCCTGTTGTACTATGTCACTGATGTCAATTAAGAACTGTCTAGAAGCAGGGACTGGCTTTGTGATGTGTCTGTACAGCACAGCAGAGCCCTAATGCTTGATTCTGATTTTCTGTCCTAAAGCAATGTTTAGTGTTATTATGGATTGTTAATATAGCCATCAAAACATAGATGTTAGTCTCTCTTCATTGTTAAATCTGTGAGCTGTGCACAAATCAGATAAAGTGTAGAGTTCTTCATAAACTGTAATCTAGGTTCCTGTTCCTTCCACAGTGGCATACAGAAATCTTTGTGTTCATCATCTTTCTTCTGTCTTATTTTTCTTTTGTTTTATTGCAGGAAAGATGAAGTAGTGAGTTTTACGCTCTGTTCCAAAGAAAGTAAAGTTTGTGGCAACTCTAACCCACTGCAAGAAATGAAATTCACTGTTGGGCTGACTGTCAAAAATGCTGTTTCCAGCTGCTCAACAGCTGTTGCATTCCACCCCAGAGCTGGCTGCATTTCAGGTGAAATAATTCATCTTCCTGTCACACGTGTACACACATACATGTGTAAAATGCTTTGGGATCCATCTAGGTGAAAGGTAATAACTGATATGAAAGACACATTTATTTGCTAACATTGAAGCTGTGACCTTTCTCTGTTTAAATAAAATAGCTGAAGAAAAAGTACCAGTTATTTAGTATAAAAAAAGAACAAAAAGTCCTGATTTTAACACAACTTAAAAAACAACAATGGTCCTGTAGCATCTTAGAGACTAACAAAAATATGTAAATAGTATCATGAGTTTTCATGGGCTTTTGTGTGGGTTGTGCCCACGAAAGCTCATGATATTATTTATATAAGTTATTTTGAAATAATAACTTCCGAAATAACTATTTCAAAATAACCTTATTCCTCTTCACAAGCAGGAGTTATTTCAAAATAACAATCCCATTATTTTGAAATAACAGGCTTGGTAGTGTGGATGCTTACCTTGAGTCACGGGATGGGCTCCCCCTCAGGCTTACAGCCCTTTCATCATCGGGGTCGTCCACCTGTGCTCCTTCCCCCACCCGTGCTTCTCCTCAATTAGTTCCGCCTCAAGTCATGGTCTGTGGCTCAGAAGTGAGCCCACTGAGTCAGAGTCCAGCTGGGCGTACGTAAACCTGTGTGAAGGAGGAGGGGGACTCGGGCCCACCTCCACTCTGAGTCCTGACCCAGGACCCTAGAGACAGCGGCGTATTGGTGCTGTCTGGTTGGCGGGGATTTCCCCCGTAACTCACCAAGGATATGTCTACACTACAGAGTTAGTTCGAACTAACTTAGTTCGAATTAGTTAATTCGAACTAAGCGAATTCGAACTAACGCATCTAGAACTAAAAACTAGTTCGAATTAGCGTTTTGCTAATTCGAACTAGCATGTCCACATTGAGTGGACCCTGAACAGGGCTTAAGGATGGCCGGAAGCAGTGCCGGCAGGGCATCAGAGGAGGACTTAGAGCGTGGAGATGCTGTCTCAGGCTAGCCGAGGGCTGCGCTTAAAGGGTCCCGAGCCCCACCCCGGACAGACAGTTCTCAGGGGTGCCCCGCTTGCAAAGTAGTCATGGCTTGGAGTGCCCACACTGGGCACATCACAGCACTCGGCCATCAGCCCGGCTGCACTTGCCGCAGGCTGCCATCTGGGGAGAGGGAGCAATTGGGGGGCTGCAGGAGAGCTTCCACCTCCAGAAGCCAGCAGAGCCAGCCCAGTCCTCCCCATTGGGGGCTCGTACCCCATTCCTCCCTCACCTCCTTCCACTTACCCTTCCCTAGCCCCCCTTCCTGATGTACAAAATAAAGATAACGTTTCTTCCAACATTGACTCTGTCTGTATTGAACAAAACTGGGGGAGACTGGGAAAAGGAGGTGGGAGAGGGGAAGAGAAAGGCTGGGAGAGGGGAGGGCAACTAACATGATCAGGGGTTGGGAACAGGTCCCAGATGAAGAGAGGCTACAGAGACTGGGACTGTTCAGCTTAGAAAAGAGGAGATGGAGCAGGGACAGGATAGAGGTCTCTAAAAGCAGGGGTTGGATGGAGAGGGTGCATTCAGAAAAGTTCTTCATGAGTTCCCATAAAGAAGGATTAGAGGACACCAAAGGAAAGGAATGGGTAGCAGGCTTGAAACTAGTAAGAGAAAGTTGTTGTTGACAAAGCAAATAGTTAACCTGTGGAACTCCTTGCTGCAGGAGGCTGTGAAGGCTAGAACTGGAACAGAGTTTAAAGGGAAGTGAGATCAAGTCATGGAGGTTGGGTCCATAGAGTAGTCTTAGCCAGGGGGTAGGAGTGGTGTCCCTGCCCAAGGTTTATGGAAGGCTGGAGAGGGATGGCACGAGACAAATGGCTTGGTCACTGTCTTCGGTCCATCCCCTCCAGGGTCCCTAGGGTTGGCCGCTGTCAGCAGACAGGCTACTGGGCTAGATGGACCTTTGGTCTGACCCAGGACGGCCATTGTAAGCTCAGGGCTCAGGGTCAGGGGTCTCAGTGGACCCCCTTGATTTTCATGCACACCTGCTCCTGGGTGGCCAGGCTGGCAGCTCTCCTGCCCTAGCCGTCCACTTTCCTGTGACCTAGTGCGGAGGTCTTGGACAAGGTCCACGATGTCCGCACTAGCCCAGGTGGGTGCCCGCCTCTTGCGGTCCCGGGCAAGCTCCCAGGAGCCGCCAGCCTGGTCCCGGGAAGAGGGGGTGGGCTGGGGGACATAGGGTGGGTGGCTCTGTGCCGTGCCAGGTGCAGGGTCTGCTGGCTGGGTGCTGGCAGGCTTGCACCTGGCACGGGCACCGTAGCCAGCCCGTGCCCCTTTAAGGGGTCTGGGGCCTGGAGGGGGCCAATAGAGTGTCTCTGGTGTTGGCCAGAATGGCCACCAGGGAAACCTGGGGAGGGCTAACCTCCCACTAGTTCGAATTAAGGGGCTACACACCCCTTAATTCGAACTAGTAAGTTCGAACTAGGCTTAATCCTCGTAAAATGAGGTTTTCCTAGTTCGAACTAAGCGCTCCGCTAGTTCGATTTAAATTCGAACTAGCGGAGCGCTAGTGTAGCGCCTATGAATGTTAGTTCGAACTAACGTCCGTTAGTTCGAACTAACATTGTAGTGTAGACATACCCCAACTCTCTGGGTATTAGGCAGAGCTGCCAGCTCCTGCCCCCATCCTGGGTCGCTTCCTCCTCCTCACTTGCCTTGCTCCCTCTCTCGGCCCATGGGGTTGCCCTTTTGGCCGCCGGCCACTGTCCCGGTCCTGCCGGCGGGGGTGTCGGGATCCGTCTGGGGCAAGTCCCTCCACCCTTCTCCTGCTCTGGTGTCCTTCCCTCCTTCCTGCTTTCTCCGGGCACCCTTTGAATGGCTGGTGACATCACCGGCGGGGAATCCCTCGCCGGTTCCGTCTCTGTCCCTGGCTACCCCTGTACAGGTCGGGCAGGCGCACCAGGGTACCGCACGTGAGCGGCGGAGTCCCCGGACCCCCGTGCTTTCTGCCACCCCAGCCGGTCCCTCGGTGTCCCCGCCGGCGCCGCCCTTGCCTTCGGCATGCCGGGGAGTGCAGGGGGCTGTGTGCTCCGTGCTGCCAGAGACCGGCGCCCTGTCATACCTTGTTATTTCAAAATAAGGGGGAGTTATTTTGAAATAACTCCCCAGTATAGATATGCCCTAAGATGATACAGAACCCTTGTTGTTTTTGAAGTTTTTTTTAGTTACAGACTAACACAGCTACTGCTCTGAGACTATTTTTAACAAACAGCCATGTCTACTTCTTATAAAGTTTTCAGAGCTCCGATGCTTTTATACTTGTTTTATGTTTCATTTAGTGTACACTGTATGGCAATAAGGTGATTTAATACAATTATCTAATCAGTATATATATCTTAGAGATATAATAAATTAAGGTAGACAAATTTTGTGTGTGTATATATAGAGAAGAAAAAAATGCAGCAACTGACCTATAATATTTTGGACTGGATTCTTAGTTGGTGTAAACTGGTGATTCATAACAACTGGGCTTCTGATCCATGGTATTTATCTTACTGAGTACATGTTTCTTTTTAAAATGTTTTGAGCCTGATGCTCATTTACATTGAAGCCCCCTTTATGTTGCTCTGGTGGTGTAAATTAAATGTATGCTCATTTTAAGACTCTTTATGTTCCCAGAGTCATGGAAAGGGGCCTTATTCTTACTGAGATTCAGGCTGATTATTCTGAGACTCAGCTTCACTTGTAAAAAGCAGATGTCAAATAGAACACACAGACCTTTTTTTGCAACATTGTGCAGATTTCTTGTTATCTGTAGTTTATATTAAACACAAGCAGAGCTCAAATTCCAGTTACATATTAACTCCAGAGGAGAAATCCAGGCCCCATGGAAATCCAGGATTTCATCCCAGGGTTTTTCCCAGTAGTTTATGTAATAAAACATATGTAATTTTAGGAGGGAAGGACTTTCCCTTCCATTGTCTCAGGCCCCTTTACTGCACTTGGCAGCAGCTCAGACAGCTTTGTGACATCTATCCTAGCCAGAATTCTGCATCCTTCAGCACAGAACCTCCCAAAGAATACAGCTGGAAGTTGTTTTTGCTGTTACAGTGGATTAATTATGTCATGGCTACTTGTTTGGATGTGGAGATCTATTTATTTACATAATGCTTTTACCCTTTGTCCTGTAAACCTGAGACTCAGCTAGTCCTTACAAGCAGCAATATTACTAAAGCTGAGACTAGCAAGTTTCACTGAGACAGGATAGCATCCTGCATACACAATTCCTATTGACTTCAGAGGGAATTTTGCATACCAAGCCTGTACAGGATCATGGCCCAAATCAGCAGAGTCCATTAGTGTTAATGTTTCTAGCAATGCAGCTGCATACACTGCAGAATAGCAAGAGAGAGAAGCTATGCATCATCTGATGTTGCTGATGGGGTGATGGATTAGTGGAATGAGAAGAATTTGTTTTGTTCTGAAAAGTGGAGGATTAACTGCTGCCACTGTTGACTCTTGTCATGGGAGAAGGAGTTGATAGGGCATTTACCACATCACGCCTGTTGCATTGGTCTTTTGCTCCACCTACATCCATTGCTGCTGACAACATTTTTCTCTGCCAGTTGTAGTTTACCTTTCATTCTGCAAGAAAGGATTGTTTTTGTAGGTCTTTGCTGGCAGCAGTCAAAGAACACTTGTATTTCCATTTTTTCCCACTACGTCCCCATTTGCTTTTGCTTTTTAATTCTCTTCGGGGTGGTTTTTGTTAGTCATATTCACTGGCCCAACTTTTTACACCCTGCAGCTCTAAACATCCTTCCAAACCAAATAAAAATTAGAGATGGATCTGAACTGCAAAGCCGGGTTACATCCTGAATTTCCCTTGTGCTAAAGGCCTATTTGGAACTGAAGTTTTTGTTCAGGCCTGTTTCTAGGGAAAACAAAAACAATAAAGCAAACCATTGCTACTTTAAGTTCCTTCCAAGGAAGCAAAAGCATGCTTCTCAGTTAAGGTGAGG